GGGGGGGGGGGGGGGGGGGGGGGGCTGAGTCCTCCGCCGGCCTGCGCGACAAAGCAGCGCCCACAGGAAAGCGGCAGCGGCACGTCTCAAGTTTAGACAGACACCGCCTACTGCGCGGCAGGCCCAGACACTCCGCGCTCCGCTCCGAGCCGCGCAGACAAAGTTCCTGAGAGCCAAATGAAATGTTATTGACCCCAAAATAGTGATGTGACAACGACACCAGAGGCGGCTCGTGCTCGCGCCGTGCAGAGACGCTCTTTATGGTGCGCGCGCTCATCCCGGGAGCCGGGGAAGCCGCTCAGGAGCCGTCTGCTCCTGAATGTAACCCGCACCTTTTGTGCAGGAAGCAGCGCCACACACACACATACACACGCATTAACCGAGGCTACAGAGGACAAACGCAACACAGGCACAATTACAGAAACAATTCATGTGTAGAAATGTGGGGAATCTCCGAACACTTCTACATATGAACAAGAAACAAAAATATTTGGCGAGACAAGCCGAGCGCGTCCCGGTGCCGTGTGTGCGGGTTTAACCACTGATCATTAATTTATTAGCCAAGCCATCAAGCCAGCGCTGTACAACCGGGACGTGTTGGAAATATTAAGTTAGCAGCGCCCACCTTTTTCCCAGCGTGCTTGTCCTGCAGTGCGCTCTTTACAAGTCTGTCAGCGGACGGATTCTTCGGCGTCGGCTCCTCCACCACCATCCCCCTCAGAGGAAGAGTAATGTTCCCGCAGCGGGTCCTGCGCAGCCTGCCCCTCGCAACCTCTCTCTCCATAACCACTTTGACTTTGCCTCGGGTCAGCTTCTCCTCCGACAGCCGCTCCTGGCTGCTCAGATAGCCCAAAATCTCCTTCAGCCCGAGCGGCTTCATGTGGCCTCTGGTCGCGGCGGCGGAGCCCCCTCGGATGCTCCTCTCGGACAGGCTGCGAACAGAAGCCACCAGTCTGTCGCCCAGGTCGGAGTTGGCGTGGTTCCCCGCTGTTTTGGTGCCCCCTCCTCCGACTCGAAGTTTGGGCTTGAGGGGCACAGTCTGCTTCGGTCTCTGCTGTTGCGGGAGGCTGCTGGCGCTCCCGGAGCAAGTTTTGTTCTGGGTGTCATCTCCGGACAAACACGGCTCTTTCTCTGCGCGAACTGCGTCGGCTTTGCTCGGTGTTATCTTGCTGGCATCGCCGCCGTCGTTTGTTTTGTGAGTGAGACCGGGCGACGGGCAGCCCCCCACTCCCTGCTGTCCTAATCCCTTGTCTCTCGGTGCACTTGCTTTCTCCTCTTTACAGCCGCTCCCGACATCGCAGCCCGTTGTTGCGCCACAACTGAGGCACCCGTTTCCGCTACTCTGACTGGAGGCTGGCTTCAGCTTCTTGTCGGCGGCGCTGGCTGGTGTTTGAGTGTGGGGATCTGGGCTGGGCTCCGAGTCCTCCTCGCCCTCCTCCTGGTCGGTGAAGCTGTGCGCACTGTCGCCGTTGTTGTTGAGATGGTCGTGTTTGGTCCGCTCCCTCGCTGCCTCCGCGCTGCTGCTGCTGCCGCCAGCCGCCGTAAACTCAATCTTCTTTCTGCTTTTCCTCTGCACCTTCGCCGCGTTTCGATACGATATGGACCCCTTGTAGCTAACTTTGAGCACCGTCTGCTCTTGAATCAGTTTTTCCAGTTCTGTCCTGGTTCGGTCTGGGTCTGACCCGTGTCGTCTCCGGACCATTCGACAAATCCTCTCCAGATCCGGACGGGCTTTCCTCGAGCGGAGAGAGTCGATTGTTTCCAGGATCCACTCTCGGTACTTATTGGGCTCGGACATCTTCTCCTGCTGGTGCGGATGGGCTTTGGCTCGGGTGCGTCTTTTTCCCCCCTCTGTGCTGTTTCACAAGTGACGCTGTGTCAAAGCTGGGAAGCCAGAGAGCGATCCCCGGCTGGAGAATGAGGACGGAAGCCTGGCTGGTACGCTTTCGTTCGTTCGTTGGCCACATTGTGCGCTTAAGGTGGACCGAAGATGGCGCCTCGGTCTCTACTACAGACGCAAATGGCATTTAAGGTGGAATTGGCTGGGTTTTAGCGCATCGGAGCGGTCTTCTTTGTTGACACTCACAATTTAATCACTGTCAAACCTGATTTTAACACAAAGAAACACTATCTGTGATCACAGTAGAAGGTTTAGTTATTGTTTTTACGCGTTATGGTGAATCAGATGGAGCCGGGTGGTCAACAGATGGGTGGATGACGGCTCCATTCCGCATCAGGCGGCAGTGATGGATGTCTCACCTCCAGGCTACAACACTCACTCTACATTTAAACTATCTCCTCATCCACAATTCACCCTTAAACACACACAAACTACTAACACGCACATCCAGGAAACACACACACACACACGTTTAGTAGAATTTTACAAGTAAAACTTTATTGGAATGATACTCATGTTGCAAAATATTACACTTCGTGTTTTTATGTCACTGTTCCCGTGACTTTAGACGCTTCCCTTTGCAGTGTGTTATTTGTGTGTGTGTATGTGTGTGTGCGTGTATGGGTGTGTGTGGCGGGGGTTAACATGGTTTACATTGGGGTCTCATTTCCCTAAAAAGTGCGACAGTATGTACCAGCATTGTGCCTGCATCGAGAGGAAGTTGTATCACTGCAAAAAACATCGAGGAGACACGGAATAATATTGTATTATAACTTCAAACATTTTGTCCATGATGATATAGTCAACATTAAACTGGACATGGAGGAAATACAGCGAATGTGAAGTCTCAACAAGTGGTTTACAACAATGTCATAATAATAATAATAATAATAATAATAATAAAAGGGTTGTAAATTAGTCCATAATAACCAATAAGCCAGCTGATCACTACAAGTAGATGTGTGTCCACCTTGCAGCTCTTGCCACCATCTATGTGCCAATATGGTTTTGACCTCAGATTGATCAATGAAATGTTCTTCAGCTGTTTCACCTCAATGTGAAAGATTATGACAAGAAGTGGGGAGCGGAGCTTTTGGTCACGAGATGATTGCCTTGTATGTGACTAATTTCTCTGATATAAAACCAATCAGTCAAAAGCTTTTCTACTGGACACTGGCTGGATTACCAGCTCGGCAAAGAGTAGGCAGCTGCCCAGGGCCCCAGATCTGCAAAAGCCCCAGATTGGTTTGTGGTAATTTGATTAACTGTAACTTCATTTGGGAATATACACTGCTAAAGCGCCATATCAGCTGACACTAGGAAGGGCCTTGAGGTGGGTCTTTAGCTCATCTTGAGGCCCTGTCTTAAAGGGGTCCTGGACCCCATCGAATTCAATGTCAGTTTACTGGTCACACCTGTGAAAAGGTGTCAGATGGCATCAACGCTTGCACGCCAACACCTTTCCCATTTCTACCATCCATCCCATATGACGTGAATATGGCATACTAGCTAGGATACCTATCTAGCTATCTATCTTGCAAGCTTTATGGAAGTGCAATACTGAATCAGCGGCCCCTCAAGACTTTGATTACTTCAGTTAATGCTGCGCTCATGTGGTGCATATTCCTAAAGTAAAGCAGCTACAAGAAGTTTTTAACTGGTTATGAAACAGTCTCAGTTTAATACTGATGCTAATACATGACCTACATAAGTTTCTATAAAGTTATTCTTCGTGCTTGTCTTCGGTCCGATTCCCCGCAAAATCAGACTGAAGAATTTATGGCATGCAGACTGGAAGCGCCTGTTTACATTTTCCCAGGCACAGTTTGGCAGTGAGTAGTGCGTAAGCTAGTTAAAATTCTTTACAGAAATTTATTTTTGATGTTACATTTCGTGTTTATGGCTGAAACTGGGGCAGAAACAGCAAAGAGAACAAAGAAAGCTAAAGGGGATGGTGATAAAGCACGGGCAAAAACACGAGTCAACCTTGGTTGGTCATTCAACAGATGGAGAGCACTGCGTTGAAAGGATTCAAAACTGATCCTGAACTGGTCTCCTTCCTCGCAGAGAGGTGTGTATTATGCCTGTTTATGTATAAAACACATTTCGATAAGAACAAACTGCTGTCTTCCACTTGCTTCCACAACAAATGCACCCGCTAGCCAGATCAAGATTTACAACAAGAGGCGGCGGTGCTCATGGGAAATCTTTATTCTGGGAAACACTACCGCTTTTGTTCAGAGGAGCTGCTCAAATCAACATGAAATGAAAGTTCCTTGTAGCTGCTTTAATTTGTGTTTTAATCAAATTACCACACAGTGAACCTGGGGCCATGAGATATTCCAGCATAGTGGTACATACACAGAGAGTGGGAGGAATGGTGGGTTCATAAAGGCCCGGGGCCCCGTAGCTGGTTAATCCAGCTGTAGACATTTGGCTACACACACCGAAAAATGATCTAAAACAGATCATTGAGTCAACACTGAAAATCCCTTGATGGTAGCTCATTTCTATTAACATTCCACATGAGTGATATGTGTGTAATTGTGTGTGTATTTTTTCATAAACACAGAATTACACAGTACAACTGAGAAAAGGCTTGTAATATTTTCCCGTATCTGAACTGTTTTGGACAGGAGGGACTCGTGTGAATCAAACATATCTGGATTTTAAAGCGATCAGAGCAAAACCAGAGCGCCCAAAATGCACCAAAACAGAGTATCTTCATTATGGTGGCACATTGAAATACAGCTATGAAGAAGGCATTTGAATGTTTGAAACAGACACTAGTGTCACTGTGTTTTATTTCATAAATCCTGAACGACCAAATCCTACACTGACCACCGTTTTGGGCTTTGCTCAAGTACTTTGCGATCACAGCTCAGGAGCTAAGGAGGCGTTGAACACTTGTGTCATGCACTTTAAACAGGCAGCTTGGACACTGTGCACTAGGATCATTTTTGTCTCTTCTCAATACTAGCTCTAGTCAATTCTAGGTGCGCTACCTTTTCCTAACTTGTTCAATGGAGCGCCAGTCGTCGTTACATCACCACCACATGAAAAACTAAATTAAACAAAGACTGTAAACACAAGAGATGGGAATAGAGTTGCTGTCACATGTAAGACTGTCACATGGAGTGTGGCCCAACTTTGCAAGTGATAAGAGGGCTGGCTGCTGGGGAAATGAACATAAACACAGGTTTCTGTAAAAGACCATAAAGCACACTATCCAGACCGCCTTCAATGACTGGTCAAAGTGCTCCGGTGACCACCAGCCAGAAGTGGTTGGAGGTAGTCTGCCTCAGGTGGTCTTCTGTAGTTGGAATTGGCAAGGGCCAAATTCAAAATGCTGCATCAACTTAAAGAGTATGTGAGCTCTGAGTGGAGACAGTGAGTGCTTTTAAGACCAAACAGAGTCGTCGAGTTAGCGAAACCAAATCTTCTGGAGTGGGAAACTGTGGAATACACTAACCAAAAGTCTTAATATTCCCTCATGTTCCTCTTAGTGCTAACCAGAGCTTTAAATTCCTAAATCTATATCATAAGCTAGTGTCTCACACGTCCTCTTTACCTGCTAATCCTAATGCTTCATGTTGATAAAATGTCTTATTAAGTGATATGTTCAAACCTGAGTTACCATTATGTTACGGTGTTCCTTCACAACACCATTAAAACTGAGATATTTACGTTCCCTTATCCAAATTTCCTTGTTTGCTGACATGATATCATTGGAGCCACTAGTATCTAGCAACATTTAAAAATTGAGTGCACAAAGCCTGGCTATGCTAACAACGATGAGAAGTATAGATGGAGTTACACAGTAAACTTAACTGACTTCTTGCCCCTTAAGTGTCATTTGTGTCTGACCGAAACTTGTTAGAGCACACGCTATGCATCATCTTCATGTTTTTCTTGTGGCTGATCATGCCAGTGACTCGATGTATGCTGTCTACGATATGAAACGCTTTCAATAATTAAAGGAAAAATGACTGCAAAACATAAGTTATTTAAGTGTCTTGCTCACCAGAGAAAGAGCAAGTTAGCCGGTTGTTAAATTTAAGAAGCTCTTGTGCGGAGTGAGACCTCGACTTGCACGACTCGATGGGCTTCATGTAATGACCGACAGACTGACTGACTGATTTCTCTGTGATGTGGCCCAAAAGTGACTGAACAATGAATGAAACAATAAAAGAGCAGGGAAGATCTTGGGTGAAAATGTGTAGAGGCAACTCTAAATAACACCCATGAATCTGAAGCACACCTTCATCATAAAGGGATCCATAAATAAGACAGACCAATAAATAAAATACAACAGAAACGCAACAGAAAAGGCAACACTGCTGGTTATCAGTCTCCTTGCTCTTTTTTCCCTTCTCTATCCCAATTCCTCCCTCTTTTTGTAGCTGGTGCTTGTGATTGGACAGGAGACGGTACTCCCTCCTTACGTCTCCCACTTGACCAGCCTACCTTTGACTCTCCCTACTTCCTTCTTTCCTCCTCTCTTCGCTCTCTAACTCTAGAACTCTGCAAACTCCTTGGCACATTTCTCAGTGAAGGAGACGCGGATCTCCTCCTCCTCGTAGTCGTCAAAGTTGCTGGTGTCGCCTGGTCCTTTGAACTTGGGGACGAAGGGAGCTTCCACCTGACGACAATTAAAAAGCCCAGTTGAGAAGTGAACTCGACAGCAGGGAGGTAAAGGCATCTGCGCAGCACACACTCACAGACAGACCTACCTTTTTCTGGTAGATGGCAATCCAGTCAGTGGTTGCAAACCACTTGTGTCCCTTGATGTCGTTCACCCCGTTCTTGAGGTTCCCGTAGCGTTTTGTTAGATCCACCTGATGATAACACCCATACATTTTCCTCACTTTTATGTCATAGTAAATTCAGGACACACAACAAAGTAAATGTAGCCTCAACATCAGAGTGACTCAGACATGTGCTCTCACCTGTAACAGGTTCCTCAGGAGGTCCTTCAGGTCTGAACTGAAGTGAGACGGGAAACGCACCTGAGACAGAAGACGAGAAGAAGAGGAATGAAGCAGCTGTG